GAGAGAGAGAGAGAGAGAGAGAGAGACATCTTTTAACCTTCCTTATTTTTTATGTTATAAAGTCCTAAAATATAAAAACAAACAATATAGAGTCATTTGTTAACGTGTATTTTCTTCAAAGCGAAGTTTAAGATGCTTTTTTTCTATTTTATATACTTTATATTTATACTATTTTTGGGTGTAACTGGGACCTTGTACATAATTTCGTTCCACCTCATGTACCACTAAAGTCACCTTGAATCTTGAACCTTGAATTTTTTCGATTTAACAACTTTCTTGAATATTTTACATATGATAAGACTATTTATTAGTTTTTCCTGCACATCTGATGCATTTATTCTGTTTTTGAACCTGCAGCAACTCTTCTTTAATATGAAGGACTTTTGGCAATAAAGATTTAATGCTATTCAAACTATATATATATATATATATATATATATATATATATATATATATATATATATATATATATAATAGTTTGATTATTTGTAATGTCTCCAAAGCGCGCGCACACATGCAGTCAAACTCACACAACACAGTAAAAGCCTTGCTGAAGGGAAATCAAACTCCTATTTGTTTTTATTATTATTATTAATCCCAGTCCTGATACTAAACGATTATTATAAACCGTCCTCTTTATAAAAAGGAAAAAAAGTTTTAAATTTTTTTTTTTTTTTTTAAAGCACAAAAGAGAGAAAGAAAAGCAGAAATTTCACACAAGGCGCGCGCGGAATGGGCGCTTTAATGTGATTGTTTCGGTCGAAGGGGACGTTTCCTGAGGCCTTATGGGGGAATAATGTCCTTATGAATTAAATAATAGGGTTATTACTTTCATTGATTTTAGCTGTCTGGGAATTTAGTGCTCAGCTTCGGTTTTAACCCATCTCTCCCCCCTCCTCACCCTCTCTCCTCCTCTTGTCTAATTATTGTTTTTTTTTTCCTCTCCTGTAAGACCCCAGCTTCCAGCAGCGCAAATAGCAGAGTCACTGAGCGAAAATTATGTAAATATTATTAAAGGGACTCAGGCACGGAAATTCATTTTGGGGTCTGCGCGGCAAATTAAAGCTCTGTCCCTCGGATAGAACCCCCCACCCCCCCTCACCCCACCCCTCAATTTATTTGCAAATAAAGGCTGAGGTGACCGGGAGGGATCGGGGATATTTAGCCGGGCTGTCAACGCTGCGTGCGCAGGGGCAGAATTAATGGTTTTAATAATTGGGATTTCACTTTCCGGGGGAATTGGTGGCGTTTCAACATATAATATCCACTTTATTTATATATA